TGGGGGGGGGGGCAGAGGGAAAGGTCTGTATCTCATGGCTATTCAGCTTCTGAATGGCTGCACAAGTTGATGATCTCAGCAACTGGGAAGCTTTAAAACAAACAGGCTGCCCTTCAGGTGATCTAGACCATGTGTTCTGAATTATGCCCAGGAGCATACTGGCAACCAGTGCAGATCTTGCAACGATAGCAAAAAGTGTACCTTATAGTTTGTGCTGGTTAGCAATCTTGCTGGCTCATTATGGAGCAACTGAAGCTTCTGAACACTTTTCAAAGGCAGCCACATTTAGAATTTATTGCCGTAGTCTAAGCTCAATTTGATCAGAGCAGATGCTGTCACAAAGCAACTAAAGCTGGCTAAGGCAAAGAGAAGATTTGGTCCTTCATCTATAGACACAGATCTCGCAGTACCAGCCCTCCCCACAAGATGTGAACTTGCTCTTTTCAGGGCAGACCCCATCCCGAAGAGTTTGTTTATGAAACTACGATATTTCTTTCCCACCTTTCATCATGGCTCAAGGTGGCTTGAACTTGATTCCTTGATCCCCGCTTAACATCAGCCAACAGCATTTCAGTCTCTTGTGTGGACTGAACCTCATTTGATTAGCTCTCATCCAACCTATTGCCACCTGCTGGCATTTGTGCAGAACATCCACCATCTTACCTTATGCTGTTGAATAGGATAGCAGAGATGTGTGTCATCAGCATATTGATAATGACGACATTTCAATCTGAAATTCCAAATAATTGCCCCCAGTGGTTCATATAAATATTAAACAGCCTAGGGGATGGGATATAGCTCTGAGGAACACCGTGGTATGAGTGTTATGAGGTATCTCCCAGCACCACCTTCTCCTGACAGGAACAGATGCTCCAGAAGGATACTATGGCTGATAGTGTCAAAAGCCAATTCATAACCCAGGAGAATCAACATGACACAGTTTGAGTCCAGTGGCACAGACCACTGTCTGTGCACACTAAAGCCTATACCCAGAATAAAACTTTGTTGGTCTTAAAGGTGCCACTGGATTCAGACTTTGTTCTGGTACTTCAGACCAACATGGCTACCCTCGAGAATAAACAGGATTGCACTCACTTGTCTCCCTCAAGGCAAAGTTCATTGGAAACCATTCATTTACATGTGGGTATATCACTACATATGCACATAGCATATACATGCTAGGAAACCACAGAAAATCAGAAAGGGAAGATGAGATTAGGAAAACCAAACAGCAACTAAAATGGTATCAGTACAAATGTACAGAGTTGCCAACACAGGTGAGGAAACAAATGTGCTGTCCATTTAACAGAGGCTTAATTGGTGGAAATGGGCAGCTAAATTTTTTATGGCATGGCAATAACTTTACCTGGTAAATAACATGCCATTAAATCTCTACTAAAGGGACAGGAAATCTATTCTCTAGGTAGATGGCAAACTTACATATGTACACACAAAAGATAGTATCACACAAACAATAATATACTGTACGAACAGTGCAAAAAGTACAAATCCCCAAATCGTACTGAATAGTATAGCACAAAGGTGCCATTTCTAGTGCAAAGAAGTATTCATAATCTTGAACTTATTTCCAAACCTGGTTCCCAGCATGCAGATAAAAAATCTGTACAATAGAGCCATGTGAGGACTGGGGAGATGTTTCTACAAATGCCCAGATCTGTAGAAAACCCAAAACTTGACAAATGGGAGGGAGGGAGAGAGAGAGAGGGGAAAAAACAAACATTTAAAAAGTGCTAACGTTTTGCCAAATGTGCCAAATATTTCACAACATTTGAAATCTTGTGAAGTAGTCTTGTGAGGTTTTGGGAGTCATTTACTGCAGTATGTACAGAAGGAGGGTCAGTGGATAGGAGTGGACAAGTGTGAAGATGGGGTGATAACAGAGCCAGTAGGAGAGGAAAATTGAGCAAAAGGAATCACCCTATATGGAAATAGCATGAATGTTGAAGGTTGCTGTAAACTCTGTGAACTCTGATTTACATCCTCATGGAGTGAGCAAATGCACAGTCAATTGTGTTGACAGGAATTGAGTAGAAAGATGTCTACATGCCAGAAGTGTGATGAGGAAGCAGAGACAAGACACAAGCTGCTTTGTCCTTCCCTCATTGCTCTTTCTCCCTCTTCTAATAACCGAATTCCATCTGGTATCTCTACATTCTCCTTTTATACTTGTTATCTCTTCAGTAAATCATCTTTCTCTTATCCTAGGATCGGTATCCCAAGGGCACTACAGGACAATGTCAATTTTTTGGCTCCTCTCATGGGAAAGATCTCCTAATTAAGGACTCTGCTGAGAAATTAATCCGTCTTCCTTCAAAACTAGATAGTCATCTCTACCTGGGCCCCAAGTATTATGCTGCTATGCAGAATATCAGAAGAGGTAATCAGAGAATTTTTAGAATGGATAATCAAGCTAGGTGTGGAAGCCTTGAACCAGTTTCTGGAGGCAGTTTTGGGGTGGAGGGCTAATAAATTGAAGCTTAATCCCAACAAGATGGAGGTGATGGGTGGAAGGACTGACCTGGGTACTGATGTGTCTCCTGTTCTGGATGGGGTTGCACTCTCCCTAAAAGACCAGGTTCACAAAAGAACTTGGGGCTCCTTTTGGATATACATGCTGCAGTGATAGCCAGGAGTGCCTTCCATCAGCTTTGGCTGGTGAGCCAGCTGCAACCTTTCCTGTGTAAGAAAGATCTTGCCGCTATGGTGCATGCTCTGGTAACGTCTAGATTAGATTACTGCACTTCACTCTATATAGCACTGTCCTTGAAGAGTGTCTGGAAAGGAGGGGCAAAAAAGTTTTTTAAAAACAGGTAGTGGGCATAAGGGAAAAAGAAATTCAAAATCATGAAACTAAGCTTTCAGTTAGCAATACTAGTATAAATGTAACTTCACTCTCCAGAAGCTATACAGAGCCAAAAATTGCAAAACCAAGCTGATTTCCCTCCCTCCTTTTGCTGTGTAGATATAACTGTCAGATCCCATTTGCTACTGTTCAATACTTTTTTAAAGGCAAAATGTGTGCTCCAATGTTTGGGTGGTACTTTGGGGGCACACTCAACTCATTTTAAACAATCTCAAAATATTTAATAGCCAATAGGTGTTTGTCATAAACAACCACATTCTGTACAGAACATGGAACAGCGGGGCTTCCTTAGGTGGCATGATATGCGTGAGAGATATTGAACACATATAACTGACTGAGTCAGCCCATTAGTCAGAGTAGCATTGTCTACTCAGACTGGCAATGGCTCACCGGGGTCTCAGGCTGAGGTCTTTCACATTCAGAAGAGGTCTTTCATATATTCTGCTGGGTTCCCAGACTGTGGTCTTCAGAAATCAGAGTGACCAGTGGCAAAAAATGACTACCATGGGAGGCAAGACCAGTCACATAAAGGCTGCCATGGGAGGCAATTACAAAATATTCAGAGGCTCCAAGCCAAGCATCCTCCTGTTATTGTTGCAGCTATTTCTGAATGTGCAATCCTTGCAGACCCAAAGGTGATGCCTCCTCCGGTCTTCTGGAACACCTCTTGTTCCTATTAGATGGAGGAAAACCAGGATTGGCTGCTTGCTTTGGGAAAAAAGGAAGGGGCTAAAAAGAAATAATCTGCGGGCAGCACATTGGAGATGGCTTTAAAAATTTTTGCCATCAAGTCATAGCTGATTTATGGAGAATCCCGGTGAGGTTTTCAAGGCAACAGACATTCAGAGGGGGTTTGCCATTGCCTGCCTCTGCATTGCAACCCTGGTATTCCTTTGCGGTCTCCCATCCAAATACTGACCAAGGCCAACCCTGCTTAGCTTCTGAGATCTGGCAAGATCATGCTAGCCTCGACTGCCTAAGATTTAGATTACTGGCACACCCTTTAAATTGAAGATGCCAGGAATTGAATTTTGGATCTTCTGACATGCAAAGCAGATGCTCCACCACTGAACAACAGTTTCTCCCCAGCCGTAAAGTAGTTTGTCTTGAGCACCAGGCAAATAAATATCCTTACAACCAAAGTGCTAACTTGAGGGAAGACATTTAAAGTAACAAGCTGGAATTTATTGTGCTACAAACTGATATTCTGGAAAGACTCACAATAACTAAAGCAAAATGGGGATGTTCTCATTCTGCCTGCTTGAGTGTACTATTCAGAATTAATATAGGTTTAAATAGCTCTATTTGTTCTACTGGTATAAACGTCTTTTAATCAGAGCATTCATTTAAGAATGCACACTGTGTTAACTGCTACTTTCTGGCCAGCATGAGGATGACTGTGACATTTCTAGTCGGATTTTTTCAGTATTTCCAGAACAAAAGTGGTGCAAATGGATCAAATTATAAAATGGCTAATTATTTTATCTCCTTCCTCCATTGATACCACACTTTACTGGCCTTGCATGTGCTTGACAGGCAATTTTGATATATTAAGGGGCCAGTCCACAAATCCCTCTGCTTGCAGTTGGTTTGCAACTAGTTTACTGAAGTTTTTCCTTTCTGGTCCTGCAGCGACAGCTGCTGCTGGTACAGGAAACAAGGTCCGCTGGTGCACCGTGGGCAGGGATGAGAAGGAAAAGTGTGACACCTGGAGTGCAGTGAGTGGAGGCGCCATCGAGTGTGCTGTGGCTGAAAGTCCAGAAGATGCCATTGTCAAGATTCTAGTAAGGGCTAACAGTTGTGTTCTGTCTCCTGCTTGTCTGTTTCCGCTGAAAGTATGTCCCTCAGCTTTCTTTGTTTCTCTTCTGGTGTGGTTTGGATCACACTGCTTTTAGCACAGTGTATCTGATTGTCTGCTCCTTCTATTCCTTTATGTTTCAAACACCGTGGAATGTGTATTTATGTATATGTTTATTCAAAATATTCACACCTTGGCTTTCAACTAAAGGTTCCAAAGTGTCTTACAACTAAGCTAAACACCCATCTAGAAGAATAAAACACCATAGACTTTTAAAAAAGCAAAATAAACCACACAAGAAAACTGAAACCAGGTTCAGGGTAATATATTAAAAGCCATTCAAAGACCTCTAAGAGTTTTTAATAATCTAGAAATCTCTTTACCCGGCACATAAAAGCGATCATTGTCAGCACAAAGATACAGAAAAAGAAGATGAGATGCCACCATGGCCTTGACCTCACTTGTGAAGGCGAAGTCACACGGAAACCAGAATTTTAAGCTGCAATATTTTAATTGCCCAGAATTACAAGACTTGAGCTGTGATAGTCATCATACATCACAGAGGAACATTTCATGCAAAATTTCTCCCACTTACTGGTAAGCCCTGATTATTTCTCAGGCTTGTACTGACCTAATGGTTTGGCTGGCAAAGCAAAGCTTAGGAGGAGACCAGCTGAGCTCTGAGCAGGAGCAGGAGAGAGAGCTGTGAGAGAGGTGAGTGGGTTTCTTTTACTTGCTTTCAGCTGAGAGAATTCAGCTAAGGATATTTTGTGGGAAAACTGTGTTTAGCAGTGTGTGGAAGCACTTAGAGTTATTGCAGAGTCCTGGCTGATTGAGTGTGGGAGAGGAACGGGCATTGTTTGACTGGGATTGCCTGTAATTGAGAGGAAGTGGAAGGGGCATTGTTTTGCCTGTGATTGAGTGCCTGGGTGAATTTGAATTTGAATAGCTGCTGCCTGACCTCTGCTGGGGGAGGCCTCTATTTAAGGAAGCACCTTGGCAGAGGCTAAAGGGCTCTTTGCCTGTGGCTCTTAGACTAGGGGCTCTGTAAGAAGCCCAAAAAGAGCCAGAAAGACAAGGCCCTAGGCTCTTTGTCTTTCCCGTAAAATAATTTGACTTGATAACAAAAACCACATAAATACCAAGGGTTTAAAAGGGGGATTATATTTATTTATTTTAAAAGAATTATGAAGCCAGAATGCCAGCAGGGGGTTGGGGGCTATCCAGTGTTTTGCACGGAGTGTCACATGTATGACTATCTGCCCACTGGGCAGAAGTCTTGGGTGTGTCCTCGGTGCAAGGAGCTCCTGGTTCTCAGGGAACGTGTGTGCTCCCTTGAGGCCAAGGTGGCTGACCTGGAGAAGCAGAGACAGTCAGCTAGGCGCACAGAAAAGACTCTCGGGGACTTGTTAGCTTCGTCCCACTCTGGATCTGGCAGCCCCGCTGCTGTCAGGGAGCATGAGGGTCTAGGGGAAACAGGGCACCATGCTGAGGATAAGGGGAATGTGCCCTCAGAAGGGACCTCTTCCCCAGCTGGTGAGCGGCTCTCCTTTTGCACCAAGGAACCATCCCTGAGCAGGGTGGGAGGGGGGCTCTTGGTAGTGGGTGATTCGATCCTTAGGCAGGTAGACAGCTGGGTGGCGAACCCGCGTACTGACCGTATGGTGACTTGCCTGCCTGGTGCGAAGGTAGCGGACATTACGCGTGTTTTAGATAGGCTGGTAGATAGTGCTGGGGAGGAGCCAGTGGTCGTGGTGCATGTCGGCACCAACGATGTGGGGAAATGCAGTCGTGAGGTCCTGGAGGAGAAATTTAGGCTGCTGGGCAGGAAACTTAGGTCCAGGACCTCCAAGGTAGCCTTCTCAGAAGTGTTACCTGTTCCACGCGCAGGGCCGGAGAGACAGGCAGAGATCAGGAGTCTCAATGCGTGGATGAGACGATGGTGTAGGGGGGAAGGGTTCAGGTTTGTTAGGCACTGGGATACTTTTTGGAACAAGAGGGAGCTGTACAGGCGAGACGGTCTCCACTTGTCCCGAGAAGGAACCAGGCTGCTGGCACTTAAAATCAAAAAGGTGGCAGAGCAGCTTTTAAACTGAATATTGGGGGAAAGCCGACAGGAGATGAAAAGTCTCTGGTTCGGGTTGGCTCATCTGAGAGAGGTGAGGGGGTACCGGTTGCTTTTCTACAGGGAGGTGGATTGAAATTGTCCACAGAGGCCATGGCTGGTGACATGGACTGCCGGACAACGACTCGAGATAGCAAGAGGAAGGATGCAGGCTTAACTTGTAAGGGAAATTACAGCTGTTTCTATACAAATGCTAGAAGTGTCCGAGGTAAAATCGGGGAGTTGGAGTGCTTGGTGTCGGAGGGAAAAATAGACATTGTGGGTATTTCTGAAACTTGGTGGGATGAGGAAAATCAGTGGGACACAGTGATTCCCGGTTATATATTATATCGGAAGGATAGGGGGGGAAGGGTTGGAGGTGGGGTAGCTCTGTATGTCAGAGAGGGTATAAAGTCTAGAAAGATTGAGAGGCTAAGTGAATTGGATTCGCTTCTGGAAGTTCTATGGGTTGAAATAGGGGGGCCAAAAGGAAACTTAACACTGGGAGTTTGTTATCGCCCACCAGATCAAAAGATAGAGGAGGATTATAAAATGATGAATGCCTTAAAGATAGCAACTAGACAAAAACACTGTGTAATAATAGGTGATTTTAACTACCCACACATTGATTGGGTCAATATGTGTTCTAGCCGGGAAAAAGAGATTGAGTTTCTAGACACTCTAAATGACTGTGCTATGGAGCAGATGGTCACGGAACCTACCAGGGGAGAGGCGATCCTTGATTTGGTCCTAAGTAACACTCAAGACCTGGTGAGAGATGTAAAAGTGATTGCACCGCTTGGAAACAGTGATCATAATGTTGTTGAGTTCATCATTTGTACAAATAGAGAATTGGCCAAAAAGACTCACACAACCATTTTTAACTTTAAAAGGGGTAATTTCTCTGATATGAGGGGACACGTGGGGAGGAAACTGAAAGGAAAAGTAGAAAGGGTCAAAACAATTGGGGAAGCTTGGGATCTATTTAAAACTACGATCCTAGAAGCTCAAAAAATATATATTCCGCAGGTTAGGAAAGGCACAAACAGGTATAGGAAAAAGCCTGCATGGTTAACAAACAGAGTAATGGAGGCTGTAAAAAGTAAAAAGAATTCCTTTAAGCAGTGGAAAGCTAGTCACAGTGAGGCTGATAAAACGGAACACAGGCTATGGCAAATAAAATGCAAGTCTGAGGTCAGGCAGGCAAAAAGGGAATATGAGGAGCATATAGCAAAAAACGTAAAAACCAACAATAAAACTTTCTTCAAATACATTAGAAACAGGAAACCAGCCAGGGAGGCAGTGGGGCCCTTGGACGACCAAGGGGTAAAAGGAGTATTGAAGGATGATAGGGAAATGGCTGAGAAGCTAAATGCATTTTTTGCCTCCGTCTTCACTGTGGAAGATGAGAAGTGCTTGCCCACTCCAGAACCACTGATTTCAGGAGGGGTGTTGAAAGACCTGAGTCAGATTGAGGTGACGAGAGAGGAGGTCCTAAAACTGATAGACAACTTAAAAACTGAAAAATCACCAGGCCCAGATGGCATACATCCGAGAGTTCTGAAAGAACTCAAATGTGAACTTGTAGATCTCCTGACAAAGATATGTAATCTTTCCTTAAAATCTGCCTCCATTCCTGAGGATTGGAAGGTAGCTAATGTCACTCCCATCTTTAAAAAGGGTTCCAGAGGAGATCCGGGAAATTACAGGCCAGTCAGTCTGACGTCGATACCGGGTAAATTGGTGGAAACCATTATTAAGGAAAGAATTAGTAGGCACATAGATGAACAAAACCTATTGAGGCAGACTCAGCACGGTTTCTGTAAGGGAAGATCTTGTCTCACTAACCTGTTAGTGTTCTTTGAGGGGGTGAACAAACATGTGGACAAGGGGGATCCAATAGATATTATTTACCTTGACTTCCAGAAAGCTTTTGATAAAGTTCCTCATCAAAGGCTCCTAAGTAAGCTCAAAAATCATGGGATAGAAGGACAAGTCCTTTTATGGATCAAAAACTGGCTAGTTCATAGAAAACAGAGAGTGAGTGTAGGTGGGCAATTTTCTCAGTGGAGGGTGGTAAGCAGTGGGGTACCGCAGGGATCAGTACTTGGTCCACTGCTTTTTAACTTGTTCATTAATGATTTGGAGATGGGAGTAAGCAGTGAAGTGGCTAAATTTGCGGATGATACAAAGTTGTTCAGGGTGGTGAAAACCAGTGAGGATTGTGAGGCACTCCAAGGGGATCTGTCAAGGATGGGCGAGTGGGCGTCAACATGGCAAATGGGGTTCAATGTGGCCAAGTGCAAGGTGATGCACATTGGAGCCAAAAATCCTAAATATAAATACACATTGATGGGGTCTGAACTGGCAGAGACTGAGCAAGAGAGAGATCTTGGAGTTGTAGTGGATAACTCACTGAAAATGTCGAGACAGTGTGTGACTGCAATAAAGAAGGCCAATGCTATGCTGGGGATTATTAGGAAGGGTATTGAAAACAGATCAGCCAATATAATAATGCCCCTATATAAATCAATGGTGAGACCTCATTTGGAATACTGTGTGCAGTTCTGGGCACCACACCTTAAAAAGGATATTATAGCTTTGGAAAAAGTGCAGAAAAGGGCAACTCGAATGATAAAAGGGTTGGAACACTTTCCCTATGAGGAAAGGTTAAAGCGCTTAGGGCTCTTTAGCTTGGAGAAAAGACGACTGAGGGGTGACATGATCGAGGTTTATAAGATTATGCATGGGAAAGAGCAGGTAAAGAAAGAGGTACTTTTCTCCCTTTCTCACAATACAAGAACTCGTGGGCACTCCATGAAACTGCAGAGCGGTCGGGTTAGAACGGATAAAAGGAAGTACTTCTTCACCCAAAGAGTGATTAACACATGGAATTCACTGCCACAGGAAGTGGTGGGTGCTACAAGCATGGACGGCTTCAAAAGGGAATTAGATAAGCATATGGAGCAGAGGTCCATCAGTGGCTATTAGCCACAAGGTATAGCTAGGGGCTCTGGGGCAAGTGATGCTCTGTCTTCTTGGTGCTTGGGGGGGTCAACAGTGGGAGGGCTTCTAATGTCCTGGCCCCACTGCTGGACCTCCTGATGGCACTGGTATTTCTGGCCACTGTGTGACACAGAGTGTTGGACTGGATGGGCCTTTGGCCTGATCCAACATTGGCGTCTCTTATGTTCTTATGTTCTTATGTTCAGCTGTGTGATTCACTTGCCTCACCCTACAGAACTTAAGGAACCCTTACGCAACTTACCAAACATACCTTTCCAGGAGGTCACAACCTTGCTCTGCCCTAGCAAGCAGAGTATCAGGAAATGTTTATTTAGATGACACGATCATTTCAGAGATCAGAAAAATGATGGCAATAAATATTTCCAGGCATACCCTCCCAACTGCAACCCTTAAACATTAGGTTGCCATTAAGGTTCCCAATAGATGTACGTGATGAATTAGGAGAGGTGCTGGAAACACCTGAAGAATCAAGGCTCAGTTCATGCAAAAATTCTTGCATGAAAGCCCCACTGAAATAAACATTTGTAATCTTACCAGGTCAAATTCATTTCTGTGGGTTGTGCCAACGCTGTGGCTTTGGGATCTAACATTCTTTCTTTGGAAAAAAACAACCCTTGACATACTTTTTTTCATTGCAGAAAAATGAAGCTGATGCTGTGAGTTTAGATGGAGGCCTCGTCTTTGTTGCAGGAAAATGTGGCTTGGTACCAGTGGCACGAGAAATCACCAAAGACAGTAAGTACAAACTTTGGCAGCCTCACATGCACACTGGGGGAATCGACCCCTTCGGAATGGTGGGCATTCAACCACTGGTTTTAACCATTAGATTTAAGCAAGCTTAGAGCTCCATGTCATAGGATTTTCAATGGACTGGTGCCCAGAAAGAGTAATCCTGTGTAGTTACTTCTGTTGAAAGCTACTGGTGTAGATTGGAGCAACTGTGCACAGAATTGTCCTGAGAATAAGTCAGTTATTATCCTGCAGCTAAAATGCTCTAAGTGACTTCTCCATACCATGCCCTGCAGACAAGTGGGTTGATCCCTGATCTTTTCAGCTGTAGCGCCTATGTTATTCCATGATCTGCTTGAGGATGTGTATAAAGCTCCTTCTTTGAGTGAATTTGATAACATTTTGTTTTACATCTTGTTTTATTTCAGAGGGCCTGATTTTGCACTAGAGCTGCCTCGCTGTTGTGCCGTCGTTTGCCCCGGTTCTATTGATCAATTTCACACCCGAAGCTGCGGGGCTGATTTTGACCTGCGGCTTTGCCCAATTTCCTCCGCAGTTTTGTTGATCCCCCCAAAACAGGATAACGAAACTGTGGGGGAAATCAGACGAAGCCGCGGGTCAAAATCAGCCCCGCAGCTTCGGGTGTGAAATTGACCAATAGAACCGGGGCAAACGGCGGCACAACAGCGAGGCAGCTCTAGTGCGAAATCAGCCAGGGTATTTGGTAGATAGTTTCCCCCTGCAGTTGTTGAACTGGGTTTCTGTGCTTTGTGAAGAGAATTTATGGTTCAGTTTTTAGATTGTTAATCTACTCTGGAATTTCATATCTTTCCCCCCTTTATACTGGCATTAATTAAAGGAAATACCACTTTGGACTTTCAGGAAATTAAGCAACTAAGGAAAGACAATATAGGATGGTCTGATTTCTTACAATTTAAAAGCAGTTGAACAAAAGCATATGTAAAGGTTTAGGAATAAGAAAATTAACACAATTTGAAGAATGTATGTCAAAAACAAGAGTGACTATTTTCTAAAATTTGTTAAATTCTACATAAAGAGGGTAGCAACTCAAAACAATCATTTAAGTTTAAATGGGGGTCTTTCTTATTCTCATTGCAGCGGACATTGAAGCATGCCGTACTGAAGGAGCACAAGTTCATGGTGAGTAATTATGTGGCACACAGGCATAGAAAATAGCGGTAGATGTTTGAACTTTTACTTGAGAATCAAAAATATGATCTACCCTTTTTCCTACCACTTCAGGGGGAAATTTTTAAAGATAGAGCTCTGGGGCTTAATCTATTGACAAAGTGCTCGTTGAATGTGATTTAGAATCTGTCTGTGGACCGACAATTGTGATTCTCCCATCTGCAGTTAGTTTTTCATTCGACAGATTTTATTGTTTCTCTGTCTTTTGATGAAGGTGCCTATGTTGCTGTAGCTGTTGTCAAGAAAAGTAATCGTGACATCACATGGAAGACCCTGCAAGGAAAGAAGTCCTGCCATACTGCCCGGGGTAGAACTGCTGGCTGGAATATACCCATGGGCTTGATTGCCAATGAGACTGGAATTTCTGATTTGGGTGGGTGACCTTATATTTACTTATGTTACATTTCTATCCCATCTTTCTTCCCAGGAGCTCCATGCATACATGCCTCTTGTTTTAACTTCACAACATCACTGTGATTTTAATTAGGGTAAGAGATAAAGAATGGACTAAAGTCACCTAAAAAATTGAAGCCAGATGTTCCAGGTTTAAATACAACACTCTATTATACCAGACTGGTTCTCTTACATGTAGTGTTCTCCTCTGTATCCTTGAGCCCTTAAAGCCTCAAGGGGAAAGTTAAGCGCATCCCACTTCTCCAAGCAGTAAGAAGTTTGTGGCAGCGCTGATTCCCCTTGGAGAAAAGAACACTGGAGTCTTGTGGTGCTTTTGCTATATTTGCCTTTTTTACAAAGATAGATGTAGGTTGAGGCAATCCTGCAGAGCAGCAGATCAGCTGCTTCACAGCACATGCCCAATCTTGCACCTTCAAGGGCTTCAGCTAGCTCACAGCAGTCTCTGTCTGCTTCTCTACTATCTCAAGTTGGTTATTTCTTCACTCACACAAAACCTCCCCTTCCCTTCATTGGGAGGGGTCACCATCTTCAGGGACTCAAGGCTATGTGATAGAGCTATCAGGGGACTCGTAGGAATTAGCAACCATTGGGGAAATTACCAGCCAACTATTCAGAGTGAAGGAACAGTCCCCTACCATCTGCAGGAGGGAGAATCTCCAATAAAGTGTATGTGCATCTGCACAGAAAACATATCTAGTGCTATGGTTTATAGTGGCACATAAAGACAAATCTGTAGGCAGTTCTGTAGGGATTCTGTAGCATATTAATTGGCTGTAACATGAGATGCTCTATACTGCCATCTTAAATTCTCTGCACGGAGTAGATTAGTTAGAAAGGTGTGAAGTCTGGGCTGAACATTGTACATTATAACCCCAGTTTGGAAATTCCTGGAGATTTGGGGGCAAAGCCTGGGGAGGGAGCTCAGGAAGGACTTGATGCCATAGAGTCTGTCCTGCAAGGTTGCCATTTTCTCCAGGAGAACTGATCTACATAGTCCAGAGATCAGTTGTAAGGCTAGATCTCCAGACTGCACCTGGAGGTTGACAATCCTGGAAACCACTGATGTATTGCCAATGGCCCCACAGCTTGCGTTGGGAAACCACTGCAAAGAGGCAATATTTCTGAGGTGATAACGTTCACTAGCTCTCTTGATTGCAGTTGGTTCAAAAAGAGGAGACTGGGTTCCAAATATTCCCAAAGTTCCAAATATTTGTCTAAATTTCCAATGATCTCATTTCATTGCACATATGACTTTAGGTAAGCTTACAAGACTGGAATTGGAAAAATTCAAGATTTCTGTTCTCTGTTCCCATGTTAGATAACTATTTCAGCGAAGGTTGTGCCCCAGGGTCACCTGCTGAATCTCCACTCTGCAGGCTCTGTGTCGGCAGTGGCACCACCCCACCGGTACATAAGTGTGCGCCTAACAGCCAGGAACTGTACAATGGCTATTCTGGTGCTTTTCGGTATGTAGCTTTGTTATTCAAACCAATTACTTTGCTTTGGGAGGTAACAGGGGATGGCAACTCTTCCACCCTAGACAAACAATTCATACATTTTCCATTCCCCACATTACATTTTTGTCTCCTCCTTCCCAACCATAGTTCTGTATATAATGCTACAGATCTACCATATCACACCAGAGCTCTGTTTTGGCCCCTTGCCCTGCACCACCCTCCATGATAAATCTAGGTAATCCAGACCAAATACCACCAGTAGAGAGCAGGTAGAGTGTCAAAAGATACCCTCCTAGCAAATAACTGGAGATGATCAATGCAAGTGATCTAACCAGCAACTCCTTTTCCCCAGGTTGCCAAATATTCTAATAGGAGAGAAAATGTAACAAAATGACTATAAATTTAACAATCTGACAATGAACCTGAACTTAGCCATCAGCTGATTCTTCCTAAGGGAAATTTTATCCAAGCCACTCAAGACCACATTTTATCATCCACACATTTTCCAAGGCAAAACACTGGCACTGAAAACAGGTTCCAGCCCCTGTGAGTCCCGTCTCAAATGAAGCCAAGATTTTCTTCTTCCACCTACTAGTAGAAATAACATTACTGCAGGTACCTGACAAAAGGAGCCTTGACTTTCCAAAATGTATACCTTGAAAATCTTGTTTGTCTCTAAGGTGCTACTGGGCTAAAATCTAGCTGCAGCAAAGCACATGTGTGCTCCATTTGCCTACCAACATATACCTCGAGGCATTTGGGAAAAATCTAATTACCAGACAATTACAGCAGTATCAACAACACAGAGTTGGACAGGGGATGCTTCAGCTGACAGCTTTTCAGGCTCTGTCTCCCAGGCGGATGGAGCTCAGGGACGCCACGCCCTCCAGCACCCAGCAGGCTGAAGACAAAACCTCAGTTGCTGGGGGAAGAGAAACCTGTATCCTACTCTGGCTTGGCTCCCTGATAGATAGAGATGTAACCCATTTTCCTTGGCTAGCCTGCTTCCTGCCTTTTAAAGAATTTCCCATGGGCGGGGCAGCCCTAGGTTTCTTGGATGCCCCATGAAAAAGGGCATGGCCCTGCTGGGTGTGAGTAACAGAGATTGTTTGATTACTGGCCTAAGCCTGCCCTTCATGTACTGCTTCCTCCTCTGCTACCTTAGAAGAGGGTCTCTGCTTTGGCTTGTACTGGCCTGAGAAAAGTAGGAATGCTGCCAGCCTCATTTGTGGGACCGTCTGCAGGTATGGTTCGGTGGCAGAGCCTTGTCTTCTCTCTGTGGTGCTTCTAGTAGGGCTCACTGTAGCTGCTCCAGCTGCCACTTGGGCCTGTGTCACCCACCTGGAAGCCTCCAGGGCCCAGGTATGTTTGGGGGCAGGGCTGTTGTCCCTGGACACAGCTTTTCACCTCTTCTACCCATAAAGTATCATTTCCAAGATACTGCTGGGGTATACAAATGAGTAGTGCCAATACTAGTGTCTCTTAATGTATTTTTTATTTCCAATATGCCATTAAAGGTTGTCTGTCTGTCTACTAGTGTTTTGCACCAGTTTCAATTTAGTTGGAAATCCTCCAAGGACAGCAAGTAATTTACAATCTTTTGTTGTGTTTTATAGGTGTTTAGTAGAGAAAGGAGATGTAGCCTTCGTTAAAATGTCCACACCACAGGAGAACACTGATGGTATGTATTTGTTTCACAGCAACGGCACTGAATACTAATTGAATGGAGGGTCTGCCCGAACGGCCACCAACTCCCCCACTCTCCTAGCTGATATAATGGCGACCAGGAAAAGGACCTTCACTGACAATGCCTCCAAGGAGAAATAGCTAAGGGCTCAAAGGGACCTGAGATCCACCCTATGTAGACCACTTAGTTGCCTCACCCAAGAGTCTTTTGAAAAACAGACCTTTCAGTCTTCACTTCTACATATATAAAAGAAAGTCCCCTCACCATAAAATCAACACCCAGGCCAAACCCTGGACCTAGAGACACCAAATTCGGTGAGAGCGCTCCTACCATGGCGTAGGTGCTCATTAAGAAGGGATTTTTAGAAATTCGACCCCCTAAGTGGGTCAAAAGGGGTAAAATGTGCCCCCCATTGATTCCTATGCGGCTGCCAGGCAGCTGCCTCCCTGCACCCCCCACTCTCTGATTGATCAGCTGCAGAGCTCAGTGTTCAAAGGTAAAAAAACCCCAACAGTTACAGGGGACCACAAAGAGCTAATGACAGTTGAGGAAATCAGGTGTGGCCAACAACCACCTGTGAGGTGAAGCTAAGCTGCTGGCCCAGCCTCTCTGATGGCTTCCAACACACTCCCTCCCCCTCCTACACCTGACAGGCAGTTGTCTGTCAGGTGCAGCAGCAGTTGCAGGGTGCTGAAAGCCATGAGGGAGCCCAACCCAGCAGTAATGTCTTAGTGATCCTGCCAGCCTTGCCTCCACAGTGACTTCTAATACTCCTCCCCCCTCCCTCTCCTACACTGGACAGGCAGCTGCCTGTCAAGTGTATGAGGAGGTGGGATGCTTTACAGCCGCTGGGAAGGTTTGCTCAGCAGGATTGCTTTAGCCCTGCTGCTGGCCCAGCCTCCCCGATGCCTTTAAATACAATCCCCCCAACACCAGACAGGCCGGTGTCTGTCAGGTGTAGGAGCAGGGCCAGGGTATGAATGTTTATGGGGAGATAGTAAAGGACTTTTCTAGGAGCCATTTCACTGTGTGCCTCCCTCATGACTTTGCATATCTTAAACATCATCATGTTATATGTTAATTTCCCTGTCTATAAGTTTGACCTTTACCTGCCATTCCAATGTATTTGAAAAAGTGTGCGTGCACACGAAGGCTCATTCCTTGAATAAATCTTTGTTGGTCTTAAAGGTGCCACTGTGCTCTCAATTTGTTCAATTGCCATGGTTTCAGGGTTCCCAGTCATAACAACAGCTGCCTTCTGCCCTCCTCTCTCCTGTTGCCCAGGAAACTTCCAAAAAGCAACCACCACCACCACCACCACCACCAAAAGTTAGCACTCTAAAATGCTGGCCCTAGGTATTCCAGAATATTTCTAGGAATATTGGGCACTGGGATATCCATATCGGTGAAATTCACAAATGTTGATCTGGATCTCAAATATATCAGAAAATTACTGATATCCAGACTAGATATATCTGACTGTACACCCACAGTCAGATTATGGTTTAGTGCACAATTTTTGACCTATCTTCTATAGCTTGTAAATAATTTTTAGGAAGAAAACTATAAATGTCTAATTTGGGATTCAGTAAAAGCAAGGAAGCAAAAGAGAAAGAAGACAACACCCATCCAAGGCAGTATGCTTGGGATAACAGGTCCTAAAATGGCCAATCAGGGATATCACCTGGCAAGCACTGGTACAGGAAACTTTGTCATTCTGAGGCAGCTTCATTAGGACACTTTGGCCCTACTTGGGCACTTCTTTTCTGCAATCAGTTGAAGTTGGTTGAGGTTCCACATGTTATTTAATATAGCACTACATTCCTACCCCAATGGCAATAAGTTTACTCAGAAGCAAATCCCAGTCAGCAGAGGTTCTAGTTCTCCCTGCAATTTTCCTTTTATGCCCTAGTTTACAGCCTAATTATTTACTTCCTGGAGGCAGGGCATTCTTGAATAAACAGTTAATTATCCCATTTCCTGCCTTAGTAGGAAGGGAAAGTTTAACTCTCTCAACTTTGCAGTCAAATTGATAGCCCATTTTTAATTTTGTTTTAAATTTAGCAGTAGTGCAATAAAAATAATAACAAAGAAAAAAACACATGCATGTATAATTCACAAATGATCGTACAGATTATGCATGTTGCCGTCCAGGCTCAGGCATCTTTGGTACACATGTTCGGGATCTAAATCATCAGTTGGCTCTAAAAGGTTACAGCCTTTTAAGCAATGGTAGCTTGCCCGCCACATTTCTCATGTTTTGGTGTACAGCTAGTTCAATCTCTATCATAATGCATAATGAAATACAAAATGGAAACAGATACAGTATCAGGATAGCCCTTTTCTTATATCGTTTGAGTTGATTCTGATGATATGCCAACAGCCAACTTCAACAGAAAATAAAAATCTGCTCACATAAGTGGTCTGCTTCGTGGATCAGCTTTGTATGTTAGAGAGGGGATTACCAAATAGTTGCTCATGACCAGATGTGACCCTGAGGAATTTCATCTACATCCTTGGTGGACCTACCAGAAACTGTTTCAGGCTATTAATAGCAGAAGTTTCATATTTGAATTTTACCTCTGTTTCTGAATGTTGTGTATAATATTCAAATGTACACATATACTGTAGTTGAACCCATATTCTCTATAATTGTGAAGCCCTTTTGGCTAGATGGTACCAACTTTATAGCAGAGGTAACATCTGCCAGCTCTAGACCTTGTCCACACAATAGAATGGCCTCTGAGTTGCCCCTCTAAATAATGCATCTCATCTATATATGCCCAACAAGGGGAAACATCTGCAAGTTCTCTGCAACTACAGATTGAAGCCTTTTTCTTGTCATAAGCCTCCTCCTCTTGTAAATGCCTTCTTTCCAGGAAACAACCAAGCTGACTGGGCACGCAATCTGAAGAGTGAGGACTTTGAGCTCCTGTGCCGCAATGGTGACCGTCGGCCAATTTCCGAATACGAAAATTGCAATTTGGGTGCAGCTCCTCCTCATGGAGTAGTAACACGCCCTGACAAGGCAGCCGTTGTCAGCCGTATGCTAGACAACCAAGAGGTGAGATTTTTTTGGGGGGTGGGAATGGGACTTCACAGCTCATTCTAAAGTACAGCCAGTCAAGCAGGTGGTCCCAGAGTTCGCCCAAGGCACACTTGACTTCTTCATTTGCATGAGAAGTGAGAAGCAATTAAATCATTTAAAAAGGGGGCTGATGAAAAGAGTTCTTCAGTAAACAAGGGAGGTGAATGTGATTGCTTGGTGTTTACAAAGTGCAAATGTAACATCAGCATGGTAGCTAACTGAATCCTGATTTACTTCAATTATTGTAGTCTCTTTATGGAGTCAAGGGATCAGAAAAAGATATATTCCAGCTCTTCGAGTCTACTACTGATCCCGCGAAGAAAGATCTTCTGTTCAAGGAGGGAACCATCTGTCTTGGCAAAGTCAAAAAGGGAACAACCTACAAAGAGTTTCTTGGCACAGACTATGTGGCTGCTATGAATTCAATCAGCAAGATCTCACCTTCAGGTACCAATCTATCGTCCTTAGGTGAATTGTCAGGAAGCTTCATATGCATGAATTATACTGCACACTGGAGTAGAGGCACTTCTGCCTATCATAATATCCAGAGGGTATAAAGGAAACCGTCTGCTTCCTTGTTTCTTCATCTTTGTTTAAATATATTACATGATGGGTAGAACATTCATATTATCAAGGGCTGATAAAAGTGATCTTTTTGTGTGCGGTCATTGCACAACTTCCATAAATTGGTTTCTGGATACCAGTCTCTGCAAATGTGTGCTCCAACACATCCTAGATCACTTTTGCAAAGCAGAATGACCAAGAAGGTGGTGAATTGCAATCCTGTAAGACACAGGGAGGGGAAAACAAACTTGACCCCAAAACTGGAATCAAGAACCATAAGGGTAAAAAAGAAGTCTGATAAAGGGTCAGTATTAAAAACCTAGTTGAAACTTATAATATACAAAAATACATGTATTTAATAGGAAGACAGTTAAAAACATATAAGGGCCCAATGAAAGCCTCATTGAAAAGTTCAAGTGACCTAAACACAAGGGCCAATACACATGACCTGACATGTTTCTGCCCTATTGGGGCCTTCTTCAGAGGTCAAACAGTATTGAGATACATGTAATACATATTACAATAAGGTAACCAATAAGTGAATACTGGACCAAGAAAATGAAGGTTAAACAGCAAGATCTATAGACACAAGACAAAGGTGTTTGTGAGGCCTCTAAAGACGAAAGTGCCAAATGTGCAGTTGCTGAATTAGAACATCTTCCAATTCAGGTCTTCGAAGAGAAAGCAAAAAAAATCCAATTGGAACCAGTGTTCCCTCTAAGCTGAGTCAGTGTGAGCTAGCTCACAGTTTTTTAGCCTCCGGCTCACACATTTTTCTCTTAGCTCTGGAAGGATGGCTCCAGAGCAAACTAATTTATGCAGTGGCCAAATTGCTCATTCACAACTTTAATGCCAGTAGCTCACAAAGTAGAATTTTTGCTCACAAGACTCCATAGCTTAAAGGGAGCATTGATTGGAATAGTGATTTCTATTAACAGAATATCCATTATGAAAGGAATTTAAACTAAGGAATTATAAAGAAACACATTATTGACTACTGCAGAGCCACAGAACGGCGATAATGGTTTTTACTGGCCCAGTAAAGATGAGTGTCTCTTAAATCAGTCCCGCAGACCTTGGAATAGAAGTATCTAATTTCCCTCCCCATAATTTGAAGATGCCTGGAATGCTGTATAACAATATCATCTGGTTACAAAAACACTGTTCCTACCACCTTTACCTTGTTACGTTGCTTAGTCAGAGTACTTTGGGAGAGAATCCATTGTCATACTCAACTCACACGTGGCCTCTGTGTCCTGCTTATGGGCCACTTATAAAACAGGATCCCAGTGTAGATGGCTCATTGGTATGATCCAGCATGGCTGCTGTTGTGTTTCTTAACTCAAAGAGATTATTCTAGATGAGGTGCCATTGTACAAAAATCCTTCATGACCACGAGGTAAGAAAGAGAAGTATTGGTTTCTCTTAAAGAACAGGTAAAGTAAAGGTTTACCTTGCTCGAAAGCCAGCCGAATCTGACTCTAGGGTGCAGTGCTCATCTCTGTTTCCAAGCTGAAGAGCCAGCGCTGTCCAAAGATATTTCCGTGGTCATGTGTCTGGCATGACTAGATGCCGAGGCGCACGGAACGCTGTTACTTTCCCACTGAAGTGGTACCTATTTATCTACTTGCAGTTTCTTGCTTTCGCACTGCTAGGTTGGCAGGAGCTGGGACCAGAGACGGGAGCTCTCTCCGTCATGCGGCACTCGGGTCTCGAACTGCTGAACTACTGACCTTCCAGTCTGCAGTTCAGCATCTTAACCACTCATAAATACATTTCTTTCCTTTGGTCTTCTGATCCTAAACTTTGTTTATTGCTGTTTTTCCATTTCAGCCCTTGTTGAGGCCTGCAGCTTCCATAAGAATGCCTGCCGCTCCTTGCAATGAAAAAACAAAACACACCAACAATTGAGAAGCTTCATTCCTTTGACTCTGAACTTGGGGATCTGTCCATCTCTCTTTTCCTCCTTAACATTGCAAAAGAAAAAAAAAGCATTCAAGTTTCTGGCTTTATAACTCCCTGGTGTTGTAGTGAAAGAAAAATAAATAACTTTAACTCTCACCACTGAATTATTTTTATTTGCTGTGATCATTGATTCGTTGACTTCTTGAAGTAGCACTTTGCAGGCCCTCCAATACTACCAAAGCAGAACATAATTGCCAAGACCCAAAGAACGACTTGAGGGCTTGGGTACGCCTAGTGCAACGTTTAACTTTTCCTTGAACATCAGACCTGTGTGCCATATCACCAATTACTTCAGAAGCACTGCCTCTGTTTCAGAAGAGGTTTGCGTGCACCTTGGGCTGGTGGGTATCGTTATAGAAACTCTGAACCTTTCTTGGGGTTATGGAACTAGTTTCACATTATTTGAATCCAAGTCAGTGTGATAAACCCTAAGCATCACTTTGTTTATTTCCATGTTTTTTTAAAAAATATTCATCTATACTTTGCCTTTTCTCCCAATGGAGGCCTAAAACAGCTTATATCATTCTCCTCTCCTCCATTTTATCCTTACAACAACCCTGTGGGGTAGGCTAGGTTGAGAGTATGTGACTAGCCTAAGGTCACCCAGGAAACTCATGGCAGAGTAGGGATCTGAACCTGCATTGCCCAGACCTAGTTGGACACTCTAACCACTATAGCATGTTGGCTTACTACACCCTCACCACACTTCTGTCAAAACCGTTAATACTCATACAGCCTAACTGTATGCACAGAATTTGCAGTTCTATAAGGAGCAGAACTGTCTCTGGATTCAATAAACTGAGTTTGCAGGACACAAATATTTTAAGTAAATTCAGTTTCAGATGTCACACAACTTTTAAGTAGTGTAAGGCATCTAGGCTAATGGCAGAGATAATGCACCTGATATAGGAATTGTGTTGGATTTAAGACCTAACATGTACATGCAGCAGAATAAGGTGGTAAAATGGATGGTACTACTTCAGGTTGTAGGTGGACTTTTGAATGCTTCCTTATATAAAATATTTCTGTGCAACACAAGAAGGCTGGCTTAGAACTCTTCTTCCTAAGGTGTTAACTGTCTGCTTGCACAGTGTATGTTTTTAGATGGAGAAACTTTTGAAAACTGGCCCCAACGACTCCAGGGGTCCCCATGGTGCCCACCACAAATGTCTTTAGAAAGTGAGTGGGGCCAGGGCTTTTACCCACGATAGTTTTTGATCGGCCATTGAAGATATGGTTGGCTGTGCTGATTTTTTCAAAACATTGCCTTCACTGTGTGATTGAAAGTAAGATGCAGCAGGCATTTTATGTAGCAGTGCCCACCATGCTGTGTCAGAATTCCAAAGGTGCCCACGGGTGTCAAAAAAGTTGGGGACCCCTGATCTACTCTATCTCCTCAGGATTCTACCACTTTGTTTTTTACTACATTTCTACTCCAGACCTAAGCACCTGGTATATTATGGAGCTTTAACAGCTCAATTATTTAAAAAAATTAGACATACTCAGATTTGAGCAATGTAAATAACAGAAAGAGGTAGGAATGAATCCTGAGGTAATAAAATGAACTGAACCATCTCAGATTACAGGTAGGGCAGTAATAGTTTTTAAATCTCCCTGCAATTAAACATTAGCACAACAGAGGAGCAATCTGAACTACAAGTTTTGTCCCCTCGATGGGCTAGTTTTTACTTTCAGGATACTCAAACTGGCATTCAATTTGAAGCAATACAATCCATTCAACCTACTTCAGAGTCTACTTATGAAAGGGCCTTAATAGTCAAGTACATTGCAGATTGGTTTTGTATTCTTTCCACTTTTCAACCATAAAAAAATATGTGGGGGTTGGGAAGCTGTACTGTTCTTCCATTTTTTGAGCACAGAATCCCACACAAAGCAGCGGTCCTACACATCCATATTTTGAAGGATAGGACCATGGTGAAGAATGGGGGACTAAAGAAAAGGCAGAAGAACAGAATTATTAACACTTGATAAAAGAGCTCTGAAAAGTCCTGGCATGTTGGTCTGGAGTCATACTATCATCACAATAACCAGACAAGGCAATGGAAAAGTGTCATTTCTGAACCACATGAAGAAAAACCCTCTAATTTGGCCACAAATCAGTGTAATCCTATGCAGAATTACTCCAGTCTATTAGCCCTTTCCAGGGATGTTTTGGCCTTTGAAGGGTATTCATGGTGCCAGGCCTGGCAGCAACCACCAGGTGACTTGCTACTTAACAGTCTGCATGACTTACCCAAGCCCAGCTGCTTGTTCAACAGCAGCTACTGTGTTGTAGTGGTTAGAGTTTCAGATTAGGCTCTGGATGATCCAGGGTTGAGCTCCTACCCTGCCATGGAAACTCACACATGCTCAGCCTAATCTACCTCACAGGGTTTTGATGAAGATAAAATGGAGGAGAATGATGGAACATGCTTTGGGTCCCCACTAATAGTGAATAATAGTAAATTAATACAGGTAAAGATCTGCCAGGCAGATAAAAGGTAGGTTTGTTGGTGAGTGGGATGGAGAGAAGGAAGCAGAGAAAGCTGAGGATATGGTGGCTGCCAGGAGGAGGGAAAGAGGGAATAGCTGGGGGGGGAGATGGGGGAAGTGCCTGCTACAAGTTCTTGCAGGTTCCCCATGGAACTGGGCCCAGCTCAGCTAGCACTGTGCAACTGGATCCAACCTGGTGACTGTCACTGTCCAACTTGGCCCGTTTTCCCAGGAAGAAGTTACCAGGGGGAGGGGAGGAAGGAAAGCTGAAGACAGGGGGACAGATAAAGATAGGTTGACTGGTGCGTGGGAAGGAGAGAAGGAAATGGGATAATGGAAAAGGCTATGGGGTCTGCCAAGGGGAGAGAAAGAAGAAATAATGTGGGGAGGGGGATACAGGAGTAAGTCCTTGCAGGTCCCCCCTTGTTTCTATATAAAACTCAAATGTATAAAAGAAAAGCACAGTGCCTATTCACTAGTGATAACAGAATCTTCTCAGTTTTGCTGTGCTAACTTTAATTGGACAGAAACTCAGGGGTCATTTCGAACGAGCAAGAATGGCATTCTGGGAGCAACAGTAAACAAGTAAACAGTGATGGAAGGGGGAAGGAGTTTTCAGGTGATGCACTGTGGAAAGCCGCCGGGTATTGCTGGAGAGACGCTGGCTGTGCCATGATTTGGCTACGGTAAATGTTGGGGGGAGGGGGTAGAGTTTATGTGTGCGTTACTGGAGCGAGAAGTGACGGGGGGCGGTAGAAGGAGAGGGAGATGCAGTTGGCTGAACGGGGACAAAGGTCACCCAAGTAAAGAGGGAAGAGAGGATTCGTCTTCCCTAGTAAGCACCCTATCTCGCCCGAGAGCAACTTCCTTCGGCCTTTTTAAACCCCCTCATATTCAGGCGTAGGGAGCCGTTACTCTGCCGTTAGGGTTCAAAGCTTCTGCGCGCGCTGGGTTCTTCGTTCTCCCCCCCCCCCGCAGCGCTTTTCGTTTCTTCTCCTCCAGTCACGCTCCTGCAGTGGTGGGAGGAGAAGCGTTCTGCGGCTGGGCCCCATTGCCAGAGGGTGGTGTGGTCTCTTCTCACCCGCCCACCCCACCTTACTCAGCGGTAGCGCTGCCTCTGTGGGAAGCAGTTCCTCGTGTGTGTGGTGGGGGAAGGCACAGAGATCAACACCCAGGGCTATTTTTGGGCAGGAACGCACAGGAACGGAGTTTTGGCTGGCTCCCAAGTTGGCCACGCCCAGCAGGAACCCATTAGCATCATAGGCCACACCCAACAGCAGAAACTCATTCGGATTGGCTACATTAGGGGTGTGTGACCTAACATGCAAAGGAGTTCCTGCTCCAAAAAAAGTCCTGGGTTTTGACAACAAACAAGGTAAACAGAATAACAAGCAAAAGGTGGGTGTGGCTGGATAACCACACTTCTGGTAACATGGGGGTGCGGCCTAATGTGCTGATGAGCTGTGCTGTCAGGGGTGTGGCCCAATATGCTAATGAGTTCCTGCTGTTGGGTGTGGCCTATTATGCTAATGAGTTCCTGCTGGGCTTTTTCTACAAAAAGAGCCCTGTCAACACCAATTAGTCTCCCGGATCAGAGGACAGGGATGCTCCCCCGGGCGGTGGCTGAAGCGGATTCTGAGCCAGGCTGATCAGAGAATGGCTGGGTAATTGCCTGCCTGAAGCGGGCACGGAGTTGTGGCTAATTGTAACTAATCGCCTCATTTCTGTCTGTTTGTTTGGCATCAAGAAACTGCAAAACTGGATTAATCTTAAAAACAGGTGCTGGGATGTGAGTTCACGGAGAGGGCTCTCTTTACCTCAATCCCCCC